AAGTTGTTCAGTTCCATGGAAGCCTCAGCCAGGAAAGCCTTCGACGCAGCTGAGAGGCTTTTGGAGCAAACCGCAGAAGCTGAGCGTGGCCAAGCGTCTTACAAACTCATTCAAAAGCGCTTCGAGGTGTTGCAGGTGCTCATTGTTGAACAGGAAGCCACTGATTCAAATGGGACATCCGTTGCAGACCTTCTTCGCAAAGATGAGTATTTTAGGGAGCTGTGCGTTCAAGAGGAATGCATTCAGACATTGCCTCAAATGAAGCGTCTCCGTGTCTTGCTCGCAAATAATTGAAGTGCTCGAAGTTGGCATTGACATATGGTCAGTCAGTGTCAGTGTTTACTGTTTATATATATATATGTGTTTGTATTTGCTGGCCCACACACCACACCGGCGCTGTACCCAGGACAGGAAACATTGGACCTACAGGGAACCGTTGCGGCCGTGGACGCTTTGGGGGATCGGCGCAAAGATGCAATCAACTTGCTTCAGCAAGTTGCCAACGCAACCATGACAGAATGCCAGACTTTTATGAAGAACAAGGTGGCCATTGAAAAAGCTAAGAAATTGGAAGCAAAGACCTTTGCCAGGGAGAAAAAGCGTGCCCAGAAAGCAGCAGACCGTGCAGCAAAGGCTGCAGCAGACAAAGAGGCCAAAAGACTTGAGAAGCTTCGCAACCTGACTCGCACATTCAGCTGTGAGTCATGCCATGTGAGACTCTGGTTGTCGTGTCAAGCGCGATAGCGTTCTGAGGCAAGGAAGAAGAGGAACAGCAGAATGAGCACAAATCAGATGAGGGTGAGGCTGAGGGTGAGGCCGAGGCGAATGGGAAGAACCGTTTGAGACGTAAAGGTTTGTCTTTGGCTCTCAAGGAGGTTGGCGAGTCTGACCTCGTCACTCGCTCTGTTTATTTGGTTCATTTATGTTCAGTTCAACTGTTCAAGTGTTCAACAGTTCTGTTTGTATATATATATATTATATAATATATATTATATATTTATATGTTGTTTTTGTAAAAGGTTGGTGTTTGGCTTAGGCTCCACAACACTTCCACACACACACACACACTCACATACCAGCCCTACCTACGCCTACACCGCTGCAACTTGAACTTTTGCGCACTGTTCATTGTTCCTCAGTGATAGCCAAGGGGATCATTCAATTCCTGTGCAGCGATGCTTGGCCTTCAAACGTTGCGCTTGCGCTGCAGCCAGATGTGAAAGCATTCACAACCTACATGTTCCAGACTCGATGCTCTGTAGCGTGCGTGGCCAGATTGCGCAAGTCGGTCTTCAAGAAAGTCTTGGAGGCATGTTTTGCGCGTCGAAATTGAAAAAATTGAAATTGGAAGTTGAAATTATGTTGCGCTGCCATCGGGCCCCTGGCCATTGTATTCGACAATTGGGTGTAGGTGTCGCAGCTTGCGCCTCAGGCCATTCCGGGTGTTCCATCAGCTACACTGAAGAGCATCAAAAAGAATGTTCCGACACTCCTTACAGCCTTTGTCTCTGAGTTTGAGGAGATGCTCTCCAAGTCAAACAACCAGAAGCAGCGTCAGCAGAAGATTGAGCATATTTGCGGCAAGCTGCTTGGGTTTGACTGTCACATGCTTGAGGAAATCGAGCAGCATATTCAGGAAAGCGCATCCTTCGATCGAAGACAGTCAACGCCGACGACGAGCTCTCCGATTTTGCTTTTGGACAGGGATGAACTTGTTGAGAGGAGTCTTGTTCATAGTTAAGTTCAAATTCTTTCTCTTTGTTGCAGCGGAAGCTGCAGGTGATTGCGGTGTGTAAGAGTGCAGAGTGCAAGTGCAAGTGCAGAGTGTGATGAATGTGAGGATGGGCCAAGTTGGACAACATGAGGCTGACAAGGCGAGGAGCGCTATGCGAATAGAAGGATGTGCTCTCCAGGCCTCCGCGCATCTTTCCAACTTCGCTGGCTTGTTGCCTGGTGGCTTTGGGACCATTGTGTACCAGTCTTCTGGGACGAAGGCTATCGTTGTTGCTGATCTGGAAGAGGTTGCAGAGCTCTACATGAACCGTCCTCCTGTAGAGGGTGAACCCAAGCGGTCAAAATGCCTCCAGGACTTGACTAGTCTTACATTTGTTTGATCGAGCAAAATGTGTAATGTCAAACAACAACAACTATATATAATTTATAGCAGCCAAAATTAAAGTTATATAAACAAACAAAGCTCCAAACTCAAACTCCAAACGGGCTGGCAGTGGCAGTGGCAGGAGATTACGCAATGGTTCTCGAAAATTCGGATTGACCCAGAATCAGGCGAACCTCACCCAGACTTAGACGCCCTAGCATCCGTCAGGGGTGGCTTCCTTCTTCCAGGTGATCTTTTGTTTTTGCCTCCATGCAGCATTGTGATTGAGAAGACCCTCGGAGAGCACAGCATTTCCGCGCGGGCGATGAGTTGCGCCGTGAACAGCCGCACCCATGGACTCTACAAGCTGCTCTCCGAAGTTTTTCCGTCGTGACTTGCTTCAAATAGTGAAACAAAATGGCCAACAGGCAAACAGGTCAACAGGCTCGACAGTATGTAAATGTATAAGTATATAATAGTATAAAACACTACATGACTACATGTGTTTAATTTGTTTCTTATTTTGTTTATCAAGCATTTTGGCCGGGCCCAGTCCCAGGGACATCTTCGCTGGCAGTTTGCAGGCAATGCTGGAGGATCTGACTTTTGAGAACGTCACAGTCTTGGAAGAGGCTGCTCAGTCTATCCAAGGTCCTGCTGAAAAGCCCAAGGCCCTCACAAGTTCAAATGGAGTACAAGCATTGGCAATAGTGGGAGCCGGAGCAGCAGCAGAAACCAACGCTGGTCCTGAAGTCATGGCAAACCAGGCGAATGCGGCGCTCGTTGAAAGCGAAGGTCATCGGAATCGGAAGGTTCCAGACGTTCCAGAGCCTAAGACTACTGAAGTCCAAGCTTCTTGGTTCAATAATCGGGTCATAGTCATGGCAATGGTCATGATAATGGTCAATGTCAAATTACAAGATTCTTAGGATATACTATACACATTCACATCATCCATACACAATGCAACAAGCAAATTTTTGCTTCGAAGGCATATATGTCCATTTCAAGTGTCCCAGCTTAGGTGAAAATGGAGGTTGATGTTGACGCGGAACAGGCCCTGGCGGCTATTTTCACTGAAGTCAAAGCCGAAGGAGAAAGCGCCAATGAACCACCTATTCTGGCCATCGAGGATGGCTCTGTGACTGCGCCGGCGCCGATGGAATGTGAGGAGGCCGACGCCAGTACAGCCCCTACCATTATCGCTACAAAGCAAGAGGACGGCTACCGTTGGCAGTAGTTGCTCTTTATTTGACTTTTGTAGCATTGTAGTTGTAGTAGTGTCAAAAGTTTCAAAGTAGTCGAAGTCGAAGTAGAGCAAAGGTCAACGGTCAACGCTAGGATCGAAACTTGTTGTTTGTTCTTTGGTTCAGAGCGGCTTCTCAGGAGTCTTTGCAGGGAGGCGCTGATGCACTGCTTGGTAGCGGTGTCTTCATTGTCGATGATGACTCAAACGGCTCTGATTCTGGTGCTGATGAGCCTGATGAGCTTGAGCGTCAAAGTAATCTAGAATCAGAACAGGGTGGTGGTGATGATGATGAGGACCAAGTTGCTGATCCTGATGCCTTGCCGGCCGCCCTCCTTGCACTTCCGGCTGAACCGCAGACCAGTCCGACCAAAGCCAGGCTAGAAGCAGAAGCTACTTCAATTGCGTGCAAGGGCAAAGGCAAGTCTGCAAGAGCAAAGCTTGCTGCTAAGTGCAAGGCCAAAGCAGCAGCTGCAAAGAGAAAACCTGCCGCTGCAAAGGCACAGTGCAAAGCCAAGGCAAAAGCCCAGACAAAACCAAAAGCCGAGCCCAAGCCTAAGGCAACAAGGAAGAAGAAAGCAGAGTCAGAAGCAGCAGCTCAACCCAAGCGTGTCCGTGGAAAGAAGCCGCCGGTCACATTTGGCCTCGCAACTCTTGATCGTCTTCTGAAGCCTACGGCTAATGGTGCAGGCAGTTTTCCAAGCCAGAGTCCGTTGAGCACTGCCATGGCGAGCAGTCAGAAAGTCCCAGACATTGCTTGAATATCGGACTCTGTGTGTGTGTGTGCAAGTCTTGGGGATGTGGTTTGAGGCAGGTTTTCAGGAATACATGATCAGTTAGTTAGTTGTTTGTTTGTTGAGTTTGTTGGTGTTCTTTTGCAGTGCGATTTGCTTGGCAAGTCCTCGAGCTACTACTAATTCAGTAGTTGAGACTGAGACTGGACTCGGACACGGCAACCTCAAAGAGGCTGCGGTTTTTTCTCTTTGAAAAACACTGTTGCCACTCCGTTCTATGGCATATGTCTCAAGTGTGCAACCTTCACAGTTTCAAGAAGCAAGTGTGAGCGAGGACAAAACAGTTTGCAACCATGACACGCGCTGCTGGGTTGTTGTCTTTGGGTGTTTGTTTGTTTGTTTGTTTGTGTGTGTGTGTTTGTGTGGGCAGTATTTGCTTGTACCTGCTGCAAGTTCAAAACCACCAGAGAGCAAACCTTCAGTTTTGGAGGTTCTGCACAGTTTCTGGCATAAGATACAACTATTTGTGTATTCTCCATATTTTCTACCCTTTCCCACGGCTGACTTTTTAAATTTAGCAGTCAAAAGTCCGTCGCGCGCGCGTTTGACTGGAGGACGCGCATGTTGGAGAGAACGTGGACACTCCTATAGGTCAATTTCTTCTTATAGGAAACTTCCGCCGCCGGCTTGCCCGGGAACTACTTGTAAGTATTATGAGTAAGTCATTTTAAGGTCTTGAGATGTCTTGAGTCTACATGTTGGGCTTTCCAGTTTGGTGGTCATCTGTGGCCCGACGTCATCCTTACTGTTCTTAGCTGCGAAACAGAGAGGGTGACATCGAAGCTGCGAAGGATCTTCGGCAAAAGCCGTTCGTTTTGAACGGCCATTGGTTTCAGCCACATTCCTGGGTCTTCCCGGCGAGGCAAGATTCTTAGAGAGGAAGCTAATGCGGATGCCAATGTCTTGGAGTTTGCCCAATTCAGACGAGAACGACAACTTTCATTTGCCCACAGATGAAGTATTCTTCCGAGAGGTCCTTCGAGTGCGGCTCATTTGCAGATTTGTCAGATTGTTTGAGTTGTATCCGAATCCGACAATCAGTGAAACAGTCCCTAAGTTTGCAGTATCAAGCTTCACCAATGCCTCTCCAATCAGAAGTGAGGTACGAATCGTCACGTGTCCGGAATATCAGCAGAGACCCCTTCGTCCCCATGACGAAAGATCAGCTGCGGTTGTCCACGGCCAAATTGACTTATGGCATGGGCGAGAATGATCCTATGCTGAAGATTGTTTTTCATGACAAACAGAACCAGAAGAAGGACAAAGTGGTTGATTTGTCGGATGATTTGCCTAATAATATTGATATATTTTGATGCCCTGACAGCAAAGACCATCAAAAACCAGGTTTTAGCAAAAGTCTACTTCGCTGACTTATACCAGGATTGTGGGGTCCCTGGTTCTTGAAGTATTTGCTGGCCTGTAATATAGGGATTGATTTTTTTTGGATGAAGTTCGCCTTCACTGCATATTTTTTTGTGGCTGAGTGGAATCTGCGTTTGGCCCTTTGCCAAAATCAGAGCCAGATGGACGAATGAGTTTCGAACGCAGACGTGCCCGGACATGCCATGCAGGATACCCACGGAGATCCAGACGCCAATCCTCACCGCACCCGTCTTTTCCTCTTTTGGAATCCAGACATTGGTCAGCTGGAGGACAAAGCGACACTGCAAAGGCCGAAGCCTGGAAGGGCCATGATGTTTGTTTCAGAAGAAGTGATTTGGAAAAAAACCACCCAATGGTTTTAAGATATGAAGATGATTGAACTCATAGCCAGCATCTAGGTGAGCAGAAAATTGCCCTCATACCGTCAGCCTGGGCAGCCTGGGCCGATGATCCGAAAGCTGCCCAGGCTAACTGCAGCGGCTTATGAGGTCGCTAAAGGGCTAGAGGGTAACCAGGAGCCAGACACCACGCTGCTTGGAGAGTAATTACGCCCGAAATTGGTGAAATCGGGGACGGTTGATTAAAACCGAGAAGTTTGAGTAGCCAGTAGCCCTGGAGAGGGCATTTGGAAGATCATTTGCGATAGGTTCCTTGCTTTCGAAGTATCAGAACTTAGTCAAGCAGGGCGGTGAACAGCAAATCGTATTGGGAAGTAGTGACGCTGAGGCCTGCTTCACCCTTGAAGCCCAGGAGGGTGAGTGGTGTGTCAGGAGCTTGGATCATGCTCTTCAAAAAGGGATTGAGCCTCAAATAGGCTTTGATCAATTCAACTAATACTCAAGGGACTCAAGTATTTATTTAGCTTGCTTGGCATTCATCATTGACTGATGGAACATTTGTAGGTCGCCTAGATTTGGGGCATTTGTTTAGACCAGTGCGGCCCAAGTGAAACCGGTAAACCCCGCATTGGAAAAAAAGAATATATATATATATACTGACGAGATCAAGAGAGACAGGAAACCATTTGATCAACGCGTTCTGGGATGCCCAGAGTTTGATCATCTCAGCCATACGGAAAGAGACACCTGAAGAACATGGGAAGGCCGAAGACAGACCGTGATGAAGATACCTTGAGGTCCTTGGACGCTGCCACACCTCCAGTAGTGAGCTCAGATCTGGAGCACCTTGCTTTCTGAAGAACTTTCATGGTCTCGCCGGCATTTCAAAGCACTAGATTGCAATACATTACGTAAAAACTCGAAGTTGCTCAGTGACGGTCTTGGAGATTCAGGTCAAGAAGCGGCGCAAGCTCGCCTTCCAATCCTCTTGTCCAGCAGCTCGGCTGGAATTGAGCGCGTTTGGCGCCTGATGGACTTGGTTGATTGCGGATGCAGAGTAGTTTGATGATGTTGTGGATGTTGCGCGAAGAGTTTCTTCCAAGGCGCAAGTAAAAGGGAGGGCGCATCCAAAGGTAGTTTTTGTCTCTTGTTATCAGCACGCAGGACGACATTTTCGAGGACAGCATCCAGTTCTCACAATGAGTTCAACAGCAGGCAACAAGCTGGGCTGCCGGATGCTTTGGTGAGTAGAATAGTCAGATGAGCTTGATCAGATCAAAATTACATAAAATTATACAGTAGATTGTATGTGGGGATGTCGAGGGCTCCTGCTGAGCGTTTCATGTGATGCTGAGTCAGGTCTTTTTCTGGCCTTGCCATGCACGATGAGTGGATCCTTAGATGTTTGCTGAATTTTGCTGATATTTCTGGGTCTAGGCATGCCTAGAATGGGACAGACACCATTTAGATTGAAGGCAAGCGTTGGGCCCTGCGAACTTCAATGGGACTCAACATGCACTCTAAATTAGTCTAAATCCTACGCACAGGTCAATGCAAAGAGTGGATTTGAGGCAGTACTTTTTTGGGGAGTCAGAAGCACAAGCATCGAGCCGTTTTTCGATCCTCCAGCGCAACCGAGCCAGGTGGACCGCTCGGGGCCATGTGTTGTGCGAGTTACGACCACTTCGGGGAGCCAAGAAGACGACCGAGCCATACCGAGCCAAGAAGGTCAGCAAAATCGACAGAGTCTGAACACATGCGAAAGCGTTAGAGGGATTGACTATGGCTGACTTACATAAATGGATACATAAATACTGAAACCCTGAAACCATCTGAAACCTCTCTAAAGTTAGTTCTGTTTGACAGCGCAGGACCTGTGGAGTTTCTTGTTCTATGTGTAATTATATACCTAGACTGCCTTTCGGGCCATATTTTCCGCCTGAATGTGACAGAGGCTGTTTGGCGAATTTCCAAGTTCAGGCGAATTTCATGGAATCTTACATCTTCGTTTCTTACTGTTGGAGGCGTGATGTTGGCATACCCCTTACCGGTAGTGTTTTTGCTGTTTGTTTCTGTGAATAGCATGTCGCTTTGGATGAAATCACGATTCCGAAATGTTTAACTCTCGAGGTGGCCCGACGCGGCCCTATGTGCAGGGGACAATGCACATGTGAAAAGGTCTTGCTGCCCACAGTGGTAGCGGAGCCAGGTTCGGCCCTTGGACCTGGCTCGGTTGGTCGGTTTTGTTTGGGGTGTTTTGGGGTTGTCCCTGGTTGGTGGTTCGCTTTGAGCCATGCCCCCGGTTGCGGCTGCGACAGCAGCCGATGGTTCGTCGAGGCCGGAAGGCCATGAGTTTGATGAAGGGCTGCCACGCCCTGGTGACTTGGATGAAGAGGAACTGGCCGAAGAGGCCTTTGACAGTGATGAGTTCCGGGCATTTCTTCGAGCCCGGTATCCACACCGCCAACACCGGCGGCGCCATGGCAGCTCGACCAGGAGTGCCGATAGTGACTTGGGCGACGGTGGTAGCAGCTTTGGAAGCAATGGGCCACCGCCAGAGTGGGATGGCGAATCCTTGGCCTTTCAGGACTATGCCATCAAGGCCAGGTTGTGGCTTGCTACCACCAAGGCCCGTCCCCGTGCACGAGGGCCGCTACTCCTTCAGAAGTTGACGAAGACCCCTTTCGAGACCATGAAATATCTCGCCCGGGATCGGGCGTGGATGACCAGCGATGGCAATGGCGATGAGTTGATCGCCCTCATGGAGCTCCCCGAGAACTTCGGTGAGGACCGCGAGGAGGACCTGTTGGCCGCCTTGGCGAAGATCACCTTCCATCTTCGCCGAGGCAAGGATGAGCACTTTCGAGCCTTCTTCAGCCGCTGGGACGTGGCAATGAGGAAGGTGACTGAGCACTCCGTCGTTCTTCCCGAACGGTACGTTGGTTTCTTGCTCATCAACGCCTTGGTGCTCTCCGATGCCGACATCAAGTCGCTCCTCAACTAGTCTCGAGGGTCCATCAAACCCGGAGACATCCGGGAATGGATCCGCAAGCACGAGACAAAGCTCCAGGCCTCGCAGGTCGGGATTGAAAAGGAAAAGAAAGGAACTATGACCACGAGTTCTCGGATGACATCCTCCGCTGCTGCCCACTACATCAATGCCGAGCCCAATGACCTGGAGGATGACGAGATCTATGCCGTGGAGGAGGCGCTTCAAGACCTCCAAGGTGAAGACGAAGAAGGACACGATGGAGAAGACGGTGATGGAAGTGTTCTCGAAGAACACGAGGCCGCGGAGGTGCTGAGCACCATTTTGCAGCAGAAGAAGAAGACCTACATGCAGACCCTCAAGGCCAAGAAGGCGAAGGAGTTGTCGAGAGGGTATTCCAACACCTTCAAGGGCAAGACCAAGAGCTTCACGATGGTGGGGCACAATGCTCCCTTCAAGGAAGGGAACTACCGCATGACCGTGGAGGAGTTGAAGAAGGTCACCAAGTGCGCCATCTGTCGGAAACCCGGTCACTGGCACAAGGAATGCCCTGACAAGGACCGAGATCGTGGAGCCCCGAAGGAGGCCCATGTGTTGGAAGAGGCCATCTTCTGCGGCCACCTTGAGGAGCACCCGGGTGAGGGTGCTTTTCTCCCTGGAGGTGAACGCCTGAGCGATGAAATCTCCGCAGATGTCCCGGGTCATGGCGGCCCGGGATCTAGTGATCGACGCCTGATGGCACCTCACGTCGAGAGTGCATATATGGCCGAACTCCAGGGTGACCCTTGGGAAGGTGGCTCCAGTAGTGATCACGATATTTTTGGGGTTATGTATGGGGAAAGTCCGAAACTTGTTTCCGAACCCGTCCGATCGAACCCGTATCCCGATGAATGTTGCGCAACCATCGACACCGGTTGCCAACGAATGGTAGTGGGCCGGCAGACCCTTGAACGACTCGCTCAACGTCTCCCTCCTGGACTCCCAGTCAGGACCAAAGATCAGACCCATCGTTTCAAGAGCGTCCATGGGATCTCGAGCACCCAAGTCGTCGCGGCAGTTCCGACAAGCATCGGACAGAAGGGCTCATACTTCATGCCGGCCGTCTTCGACAACCCCGAGAGTGTGGCCGCCCCCTTCTTGATCAGCCTGCCCTTCCTCATCTCGTGTAGGGCGGTGATCTACCTCGATAATGAGACAGGACTCCGGGTGCGGTTCAGGAAGCAAGGGTTTACGGTTAAATGTCACCTAGGACCTACCGGTGCCCTTCGGATTCCGTTGTGTGAGTTCACCCCCGGTCAATTGGAATCTCTCAGTAAAGAGGTCAGCGGCAACAATCAAGAATTTGAGGTACTCAAGACGGAACAATCACATGATCCCGCCGCAGACAGTTTTTCACAGACCAAAACCGGAGCCCCTGACAACGAGCGTGAACCTCCGAAGCAATCCCCCTCTCATGGAAGCCATGCCGGAGCTGAAGCGACCTCGAGGACCACGAGAGGAGGCCCACTTTCCCTCTCTCTGGGGATGGAACCGCCTGCTTCGGAAGTTGCTCTATGTCATGCAAGGGCTCAACGTGTTGCTCGAGAACCTGATGAAGCGGCCGACGGAGGCCCGCGACCTACATCCTCCTCGCCATCGATTACCCGATCCGGAAGAAGAACGAGCGCCTGCGCCCCGAACTCCGACCAGGACCACCAGCGAAGCCTCATGGGAGAGAATGAGCTTGAATTCAGAGCTCCTTCAAGCCAGTCCCGGGTCCTCCCAGGGAGATGTGACTCAGCTGCTCGAGGAGATGAAGGAGATCGTTGGACCGCCGCCCAAATGCGGTCATACGCCTATGCCGACTATTCCTGAGTCACACGGCGAAGAATTCCATCAGGTCGAGTGCGAACAAGCCTTGAAACACTCGGTCTATGCAGGCCCCAAACGGTTCTACGACTATGAGGTGGGTCAAACGGTCTACTTCTGGAGAAAGGGAATGGAACGACAGAAGAAGGACTCTCCAGCCTTTTGGCATGGGCCTGGCAAGGTCATCCTCACGGACCTCCCGAACACAATATTCAGCTATAGAGGAACTCTCGTGAAAGCAGCTCCCGAACACCTTCGTCCCATAACCAATGACGAAAAGTTCCAGTTCATGGACTTCTTGACCGACATTGTCAATACCCAGAAGGAGATCCAGAACCACAAGATTAGAAACTATATCATCCTCGACGAGAAGCCCCCGGCCATCGAGAATGCACCCTTACCAGAACAAGAAGAAGATCGTGATCGACCTGACGGAGAGGAACCACCACCACCAAAGAAACCTCGATACCGAATTGAAGGAAAAACAGCAGAGACCGAGGTCGAGTTCAAACCGGAAGAAATGGGAACAGCCTTGGAGGGAGACCTCGACCATCCGGAACCTATGTCTATGTCGCCCAGGATGGATGACTACACACCGAACCAGGTGACCAAGATCCCCACGAAGAGCGTGAGAGAAGGATGATTGAAGATGAGGACAACCGCAAGCCCCCGGAGAGACCCACGTCACCACGGTCTACTCCAGTGATCCGCGAGAGAGTGGAGGACCCTGAACCACCAGTCAAACGAATCAGGACAGAAGCTCTGGAACTACTGTATCAAGAACTCGTCCGGCTTCGACCACAAAAGGGCAAAGAGATTGTACTCAACAAGCTCCCCGCCAAGAAGAAAGAGAAATTTCTCAAGGCCATCCTCAAGGAGGTGACCAACAACCTGAGCTCAGGTGCCTACGAGGTCCTCGATCGGGGTGAATCTGAACATATCAGGAGAACCAAAGCGGAGAAGATCATGAAGTCCCGCTACGTCCTCACGGAGAAGGGAGTCGAGGTGGAGGAAGTCGAGAAGCTCCAACAAGACGGCCTACTCATTGAGGACAATGATCCATCTCTCGGACCCCAAAAGGCGAAGGCCAGACACGTCATGAAAGGCTTCTCGGAACAAGGTGCCGAAGACCTTGCCTCGACGACCCCTCAGGTCGCAAAAACTGTTTTCTTCACCTTACAAGTGATATCCAGTATGAGATGGGAACTCGGACACCTGGACTTCACCCAAGCATTTCATGCTGGAGATCTGATAGCTCGGGAACTTTATGCTGAACTCCCTCCTGAAGGACTTCCAGGATATCATCCACGGCAACTCCTACGCTTGAAGAAAACTTGCTATGGACTCACCGATGGTCCTTACGCCT